TAAAGTGTATTAAGAACCAAAAGCAAACCCAAAACAGAGACCGCACCTGTCCTGCATCACTGGGAAGTAGAACAGGTAGTCGACCCCGTTCACGTGGATCTCCCCGCTTCCGCTTCCATACACGACCACGTCTGCCCTCGCGCTCTTCCTTTTACCTTTGAAAACAGAAAACATCTCTCTTACTACACACCCTCAAGGGCAGTGCTCCAAGGCCTGTGAAGCTACATTAAACGTATCTCCCCAGAATAACAACACGTAACGCTGTGTGACAAGTCAAGACAAAAATGGAACAGGCAGACTAGACCTGATGTAATAAAGCTTCTCGTCAGACAACTGCGTTTCTCAATTCCACTCTGGAAACACTACAATGATTTTAAGTTTGTTGCAACAAAGTAATTCATACTTATTTATATTACTTAAAAAATCAACCAATTTACACAGTCTTCTTTTAAAATCAGTAAGACTATATCTAATCATGTAATTTTTAAAATATATGACTAGTATAATAAAATGTAATTGGTAGAAATAAAATGAATCCTCAGGGAAGGTCACACCTCTTACAAAACATAGCTGAAAAAAGGACAAAGGGATGATGTTAAGTTTTCAGAGCTACAGATACATCATTTAATAAGTCAATTCTTTCAAGTTACATGATGTCAAATGTCTGTCTTTCCACAACGAAGATGCAGGTTGAGGGTCTAACGTTTTCATGTTTCACAGTTTTAGCACGTGACGTGCAGATTCACCGAACATTTTCTTTTATGGGAGACACCTTTATTATAAATATTTCGTTGTTTCCACCAGTTGAAAATGTGAAAATGAAAAGATTAAATATAAATGTGTGAAAATAAAAAGTGTGAACGTGATGGTGTAGGTATGTGTCCACATTTCTTCTTGGGACATTGTAAGGGGCAGTTTTTAAAAATGTCAACAGAATCTTCAAAATAAGGACATCTGACCAGCAGCAGCAAATCAAACAAACAACACGAAGGGCGGAGAGCAGGAGCGGGCAGGAGTCCCGCGGCCCGCTCCCCAGTGGCCCACTCCCCGGCGGGTACCTGCGCCGGTGCTGAAGGCCGTGCCCTGCTCAGTGTACTGCAGTGGCTCCATCAGCTGTCTCCTGGACGGCACGGTCACGCTTCTGCGGAACCTGCTCAAGAACTCTTCCTCGGCCTCCCTGCACGGCAGTGCCAACAACCTTTCCAGCAGCCGAATGAACTGCGCGTACTGCAGACAATAAAAATTCATTAGGAGATGCAAGTGTAATTGCATTTGCTAAATTTCTTCTATTTTTATATACTTGATCTTTCCAATGTTGCTTTTCTTGATGAATTTTGACAGGATGACACTTCCGCACCTTCACGCTGCTTTTAAATCAGCGTGCAGATGCAGCCCTGTGTCTCTTTAGGGCTTCACCTTTTCAAGAAACAAAGAGATTCATCATTCAAACAAAAATCCATTTCTCTGTCTTGTGAGTACATGAGAGTGAGATTTAAATTCATTTCCCAAAATTATTTAGATGATCTTCAAGTGTGATTTCTACCCCTTTATTAGAACTGCATCAAGACGGGGCTTCATAAGTAATTTCCAGCAAGTTACGTACAGTAAAAGAGAGAGTATGATTTTGAGAAAATGTATCTCTTAAATTATATTTCATAATACATTTGGCAAATATATCTTTAGCTGTTCAAGCTGTGTTACTTTAATGTTTATGATTTCCTTTAAAACCGAACAATCAAGCTATTTAAAAATTCAAGAGATACTTGACTTAAAGGGCAACCTCTTGAAATAAATTATCCTTGCTACTCTGTGCATTTTTTTTAATAGTTCTTGAACATGTGATTAGAAAGTAAACAACTTGGTATTAACCCCTTAACATTAGAAGCCAGAGTAATCGCTCTAAAGTGTTTATGCAAAAGGAAACAACACTTGAGATCTTTCGTTAACAGGGAGTGGGAGACCCAGCTTTTGATAACCTTATTTGTGTTTCTGCCAACCCTAAAAATCATACTCGTCTTTGTTTGCCTTTATAGTGAAAATCTGCTGTTAATAATTCAAAATATAAAAAAAATCTCAGCAGTAAGATTAAAAGGACTGCTTCAATTACTGCTCCCTGTGATGTTACAGTAAGAGAAGGCGACTGTCTCGGTCAAGGTGAAGCTCTTGGCCACCCATGGTACTGGGAGAGCTCCATCCTCCATTCACAGGCCTCTGTCCTCCCTCGGCCGCTCTCAGTCCCGCCACTCAGGCCGTGATGCCCTCGAACCTCCGGGGACTCATGAGTGGGGATGATGGTCAAGATGTCACTGACTGCCCTGCCTCCCTCATCTTGATACCAGTGAAATGTGTTCAATGAAGGAGCAAAGAGAGATTTTCCAGTTGATCCAAGTGCAGCAATACTGACTCGGCAGTTAGGATGTCAGGAATTAACTCCAGGTCCTCCGCTCACCAACGCCCGACACCCTGGTTAAGCAAACTGCAACTTCCCCCCAAACGTTAATTCCTCACATGTCATGTGAGGAGAAGAGCGATTTAAGGGCGTGACTTAAATCCCCACGGCGGCAAGGCTGTGATGGCAGCCAGTGCCGCGGGAGAGAAACCTTTCCTGGAGCAATTTGTGAGATTCACCTACACTCCAAATTTCCAGAAAGAATCTAAATTTAGAACACCCCATTTCCTCTGATCAGACCATTCAGCAAACTAAGGATCCAACTAAGACCTGCAGCAGGGTCACAATCTTCCTGGGCTGCAGCGTGCCCTGGGGGAGCTTGCTGAGAATGTGGATTCCCGGGGGACAGCAGCAGAGTTCTGAGCAGGCTCTGCGTCTCGGGAAAGTACATTTTGCAAGCTGCACTCCATGTGACTCTGATACAGGCGGTCCTGCAGATTCTGAGACGGACGTGCTGGCCCTGGGCCCCAGCACGGAGGGTAGCCAGCAGCAGAAAGGTTTTGCCCCTTTCCTGCTGAGCCGGTGCTGGTCCCCTATACTGTCACCTGCTTGACCCTCACAGGGCCAGGCTCCCCTGGGAAGACTGGAGAGGACACGAGGGTGCCCACACAGGGGTGTCGGGAGACCGGGCACGCTGCCCACCAGGCCCTCCCGGGCAGAGGTCAACTAGACATGTTCTAAAAGGAAACCTGTCTTAGGAACACCTGCCCCTGAGGAACCTGACTGTTAGGGCCCGAAATACAGCAACTGTCTGTAATCCTACGGCACAGGTTCCCTTAAATTAAAAAGATTAATTACTCACATCTTGATCTGACAGTTTTTCCACTAACATTTCTTCCAGTTCCTCCTTAATCAGCCATCTGCTGCCAATCGGATCCCTGTCAAAACAGCGCAGACACTCTCTTCAGTTATATGTAACTTCAGCCCTGTCACAGAAGACCCCACAGGTGGCAGGGACTCCTAACCAGGAAACACAGTTTTGTATTTCACGGCTGTAAAATTCAGCCCAGGACAGGACTTCTGAGACACAGCGTCTCATCTCCTCAACCTACTTATGAAAAGATACCCAGGCTAGCAAACGTTTCATCTGCAGAGTTAAATACGGCCTCGTGGAACCCAATTGATACTAAAATCACCAGATTTCTCAAAAATTACAACTGTGCTTGTTTTTCACAATTTACTTTAAAGGAGATGTTACGGCCACACAGTTAATCTGCCAATGGACTAAAAACAGTAATGAAATGCAAGCTCAGGGCTGGTGTAGTATTTACAACTTAAACTAGGTGTGTTCAAAGACTTGGGTCTTTTGTACAAGAAGCACTACGTGAATAACCAGGCCAAAAGCTAAAACTGGGCGCTCAGGTTGGCAAGTCTAACCTCTAACCTAGCACTGCTTGCTAAGTGGAAGCACAAACCTTCAAACGTAAGCTACGTTCACAAAAAGTCTGAGGACACGTAAAAGTCAAATACAATAATTAAGTGCCACTTAATATATAAATCTGGAATAACATAAAAATTACCTTAGTATTTACATCCTCCCAAACAAAACAAAACAAAATTAGTGTTGTTTGGAATCTGAATGATTAATGCTGACACATGAACACATTTTTTTAGGCTTTAGGTATTGCCTAAAAATACACCGATAATAAGTGGTATTTTCTAGTTAATTTTTTCACGTATTTTAATGCAAAAAAGAACTTACTTGGTTTTAGTTTTTTCTGAAAACAGACCTTTGGCTTTCAACTGGTTTTGATGTTTTTCTACATCTAGTAGCTTTCCATATGCTTCCTGTGGCAAACAAAACACATGCTAAACCACGAGATGGGGCATGATCACCGCACCTCCCACGTCCCCTGAGTCCCCCTCATCTCAGAAGCACCCTCTTCAAGTCACAGCTGCATAGCAAGTTATTACTGAAAGGCTTCAACAATACCATCTCCCATTCAGACTGAAGAGTCATACAGTAAGTTCAGCGAGAATTTAGTACCATATATAGCAGCACACTTAACTTCAACTGATTTTTAAATAACTCTATAAAAAGTTTACATTTAGTAAGGTTAATAAAAACAAAGTTACAAACTATTTTTCTTAGAGTTCCACAAACAGGATAAAACATTTCCCTTAAGAGAATCATAATTTATACACCAATATGCCTTTAAACTTAAGAGACTTATGAGTGAGAGCTATGGTATTTACAACTGAACCACTTACCTAATAGTTAACATTTATATAGTATTTAAGTCCTCACCATGAAGTTTGTATCTTAAGAACAGGTTTTCTACTAATGTTTATTTTTCATTATTTGATTTCTTTCTATTAATTTACTTTCTAACAAAGTCTGTGAATGTTACTGTTTAATTGTAACACAAGTAGGGGAAAACTTGGCATTTTGTTAGAATTTACAAAAAAGCAAAAACCTGGCAATAAAGGTTATCACTGAAATACATTTTCCAGGAAATGAGTTTACAACAAGCAGAAAAAGACAACTGTCTCCCGTGTTTCTGACTGAGCAAACCTGAGAGCTCACATCCAGTCTATGTGCATTCATTTGTAGTTTACATATAACCTGCCACACTAATACTAGGAACAGACATGTTCAAAGGACGTGCTAGCAGTGATACAGGTGACATTTTTTCTTGCTAAATCACGACTGTCCAATATCATTAACTTGGATAAGAAGACACAATTTGTTACTGACAGCATCTTCCCCTATTTCAAACAGTCTTAATAACTCCCAGTTTGGGGGGACAGCCTCTTGTGGGCGCTGATCAGGCCGCCCTGTCACTGAGAACAGAAGGGGTGGCCCCTTCTCCCGCCTGGGCACTGACCAGAGCTTGCATTTTATTATCATCTTCACTCTGCAGCCTCTTTACAGGAATCCTCTTTACCAGAATCTGGGTAAAAAGAATGTTTAAAAAAAAAAAAAAGGAAGAAAGAAAGAGAAAGCAAAAAGGATGTAAAGATTGCGGCTTTGCATTTCATAAACACAGAAACAGGTGAGAAGAGCTGAGATGAGGCTCCACGGACCAGGACTTCTTGGTGAAATGAAGACGTAAAAGTTCACCTCCTGGGGCTGGGGCACTCGGAGCAGCGTGTTTTGTTTTGCTTGTTTTCAATAACGGTAGTAGAACTGCTAACTGAGCAGCAGGGACAATGAGAGGCAGCAGCCCTCAGAACATCTCTGCCGGGGTGAAAGTCGCTCCCGAGGCCAGGGGCCGCAAGCTCAGCTCGCAGTGGGCGGGGAAGCAGCAGCAGCTCCGCCAGGACCCAGGTCAGAACCGCAACGCCCCAGGCTCCAGCCCAGGCTTTCTGAGTCGGAACCGCTGGGGTGGGGCCCAGTGATCCGCTTCAACGACTCCCCGAGCGCTGCACTCTAAGGCCTGGATCTAACACGGGAGCCACGGGACGAATTGAGCTGATTCAGTTCCAGAGTCCACGCTAACTTTCTCTGCAACTCCGTTCAACGTACAAACCAGCCACCTGTGCAGAAGCATGTGTCCGACAACTGAAACCAAACCGTCTACATGAAGAGAGCAAGAACCAGCATGGACCATCTGCACTGAGAACACGCACCTGCTACTCAACTTTAAGTACTGTTATCTCCCAAGAATTGGTAATCCTATTTGACCGTGGCTAGGGAACTTTAAATTTACATTTAAAGGCCAAGAGGGTGGGTGGCAACCCCAACTGCACAGTGTATCAGAAACATTTCTATGAACCTGTTTCTAGAGAGCAATTCTCAAGTGCTCTGAACAGGTAAAACAGAGGAAAAAAACCTAACACAAAGTGAGTCCTCCCCCACTTGTATGAAGTGGACGGACGCGTGCAGATAGCATACCCCTGCGCACTGCCTGGCAGGCCGACCCCGGGCGCCCGCTCCAGCCAGGACTGCGGCCGGAGGAGGGTCTCTGTCTCCAGGCTCCAGAGTCTCGAGCTTCCCACAGTTACAAGTCAGAGATGTGCATCTTTTAAACCTGCTAAAAATATAGGAATGCAAGAGGACACCAACAACAGTAGTAAGATACCCTACCCAGCTTAGGAGGGTCTATTAATTCCTTTCTGAAATAATCAAGGCAACTAAAATAACAGTAACTGACCTGATTCACAGGTAAGTTTCAGGTCAACGTCCGGGCTGCTAAATTTGTCATCATTTTCCAGTGGCTTTGGAGCAATTTTAACTTAAAGTCCACGTTTTTCTTGGAAATTTTTCACTACGCTGCTGTCTTTGTGTGTTGTACTTAGCGCTGTAACAGCGTAAAAACAGTGTAAGTAACATCGTCAGAAAGCTGTGGGATGTGAGATGACCACCCATGGAGACTGCACGTCTAATCTCAAATATGCTGGGTTCTATGCCTTTACTGACGGTGGAACCCCTCAAGTGATGCAAGGCTGGGTAAGCCCCTCACACACTTCTTCAAATAGGAAATACATGTAAGTACTCAGCGCGGTGTTTGACCGCCAGTGATGGTCAAGGAACGATACGGGGTAAAGGACGGCATTCTGGAGTCAAATAACCCAAATGGTTTCACTGGGGCACCACGGCCATTTTTCTTTTTCTGCTGGATGATAAAAGCACTCCTGAGCGTCTATCTTGGTTAGCTGGAGACAACAGTCCTCTGGAAAGTACTTTCTATATCTTCAACTCCCTGAAGAGACTGTACTAATTTACATCAAAAAAATCCTTGAGGGGAGAAAATATGCCAGGAACTGTCAACATCACAGATGATCGGTGCTAGCTTCTGGTATATTGTTAAATTCCCACTTAATTTTTAAGGGACACCAGAGAATTAGCATGACCCCACCCACACTAAGTTTATATTACTGTATTTAACAGTGTAATTTTCAAATATGACAGGAATAACCCAGATGTGAAATGCTGAATCATTAATCACAGCTATAATTAATATTTCATAAAATCAAAGCAAGTCTATCCACCCCTCGTGCCATCAGATTTCCATAATGTATGAGTCAAATTTAGAAGGTGCCTAATTTGAAAATACCAGATGCTCAGGTTGTAGAAAAGAAATGCTTAAACTAAACTCTTTCAAGAGCATGAGCAGCAGGATTTTTAGTCTAAAAATCTGGTTTTAGTCTTCCAAAATCTGTCCTGGTTACTCTCCTCACACAGAGATCCTGACATTAGGAAGGGTAAAAACAAAAAACATTTCTTAGAGGGGAGGTATGGAAAAAGCCACCTGATTTTGATAAACAAAACATACAGTAACAAACTGACAGTAATTATCATCTTAGATACGAGTTCAACACAGAATAGTGACTTAATATATGTTTGTTAAAAAAAAATCACAGAAACTAAATTTCCTAAATAACAATCTTCTCAACTTTTCAGCTACTGGCATAGACAAAACTGAATGTTACATATTTATAACTCTCTATCACGGTTTTTATCACACTATTTATCTAAAGTTCCAAGGGACACACCCCTACTGCAGACGCGGGCTGTCACTCTGTAAATACCATGTGCTCTGTAGTCTGTACTTCAGGTAATGCTGTCCAACATAACAGGGCACACAGACAAGTACTCTGGGAAGGTACACGCCCAGGAGTAATTTACATACAAGTGCTTGTGACTCAGATACCGTATATTTTAAAGCTCCATCATATATTATAAAAACAATTATATCACTAAAATAGAAGTTATCTGATGAAAATCAGCCCAGGCAATAAGCTAATTCAGGTATTAAAAATTAAATTTCCTAAGTGTTATACTTAGGACAAGATATACAAGGGTAATTATTCACATATGAGGAAAACGTGTATTAAGGATAATTCTAGAACAGCAGTTTCTACTGCTGAATTAACTACTGAGCTAACTCCTGCTGTCAGAAAAGGTCTCAAAACCACGCACAGCACAGCACAGCACACGTGTCAGCATCGGTCCTCGCCTTTGGAAAACAGGCACTCCGCCTCGCTGTATGTCCTAACACCTCATGGTGGGAAGGGTCGCTACTTTAATTCCACTTTTAGAGAACACTGCTTAAAAAGTTTTAAATATTCACCCCAAGGTGACAAAGTGGACGAAGTAAGAAGACTTCTCGCTTTCCGAGTCTGGACCCGGCGCGCAGTGAGCGGCGCCCCCCCTACCCCCTGCCCCGGGGCCGCTGTTTGGTTCTCACACCCCAGGAACACAGAAGGTACTCAAGTCATGTAAAACACACTGGAGGACTTCTAAGTAAGCCAGGGGCTTCCTCCAAGAGGTAAATGAATCCTGTTTATACACTAGCATTCAAATCATTTACTTTTCTTTCATATTTTAAACTTTCAAACAATTCAGTGGCATGTTTAAGTATATAATGATTTACTTATTCCTTAATTTTATACCTTTTAGGCTAAAAATTTCACCTGCGGCCAAGTAATTCCTTCAATTTATAGAAATAGTCTGAAAATACTCCAAAGCTTACTGTAAAACTAGTCCTATTATAATACAAGTGGGGCTCTAAGAGACACTGAACCCCGTGGAGCACTTAGGACCCTGTCGTGAAGACCGGGCGGGGGAGCCGATGTGAAATTTCAATACATGCATCGTGCACTTGGCGACTTGCGGTGTCTTCAGTATTTCACACCGCCTTTCCTGAGCTCTGGTTCCAGGGGCTGTTAAAAGGTGCCCTGGGCAGAAAGGGTTCCGTGACCGACACCTCTGAGCGGGGAGTTAACAAGTTTCCTGGCCGCAGGGCTGCACGGTGCGTGCTACGTGCTGAGATCTCCCTGCACACCAGATGCAGCATTCCCAAACGAACTTCATTTCAGACCCTTTCTTGAAGATTTTATAACCTGGGTTCCTCCAAAAGCACTTTGGGAAAGGCTACTACATTATAGCCGTGCCCTGTCTTAATCAACAGTATTTCACAGAAGGGTTTCCACTTCAGAGTCAGTCACCTCCCACAAAGAGTTTTTAATTGTTTTCAATTCACTTTTAGTAAGTGCGTTTCAAAACTGTCAGAAATGTATGTTATAACAGAGCGTGAATGGAGCTGACACATGTCATACAATGGGAGACCCGTGTATGGCCCACCATGCACCCAGGCTGGGAACCTCTGCCCACTCGCCGGGCTGCGTGCGCAGCTCCCACTGCGGAGACAGGGTGCCGGGGCCGGCTGGGACCCCCAGGGCACCCCCGCCAGCCCGTCCCTCAGCCACGCGGGCAGGTCTCCTCCCGCACCCAGGCGCGAGCTCCCCCAGATCAGCTCTCCCATGGAACAGCACTTGCTTCACCGCAGACACATGTGACCGTCCTCTTACAAATTCTTCCCTCTCCTTTACACTTCCGCTCATCTGTTTCAGGACACTTTCATTCTCTTTCTTCATTCTGCTCCTGAAAACCCTGACCTGAAATTCTACCCACGTCCGAGGAGCACACAGCTCTGGTTCTGTGGCTGTCTGGGGTGGGAGTGCCACCCAGTGTGGGCGTAAAAAGACGGGTGAGCGGTACCGTCCAGCACGGAGCCTTCTCAGTCCTCAAGCCCCTTTGAGAAACTCCGTAAGGCTTACTCCTTCTGCCTAGACTACTCACCACTGAGGACTAACCTGTGAGTCCTCTGTCACGTGTCACTACTACATACGTGCATCCCATCCGCTATCTTGTAAAATAAATGGGTTTTATCGACTTTCCCAGGAAACTCGTGCACGGCTGTGCCCGCGGGGAGCGGGCGTCCAACTAACCTGGGAAGGAGCCTCTGGGACGTGACACTCACAAGGTCCGAGACCCGCTTGGGTCGGCGGACTTTCCTTCACTTTCCACTTTCCTGTCAGGCTTCATTCCTGGGCAGGAACAACAAACTGCTTCCTCCTTCTCACGCTCCTCTTCCCTTAGCCCCACCCCAACCTCCACCAAAACGGGAGGGACTAATCACCAGCACTGGGAAGAGCGTCCACCAAGGCTGGCGCACAGGCCTGGCTGTGAGCCGTACCACACTCACCCTCTGTTACATGTCATGTAACATACAACCTGCAAACAGCGGCCAAACGCTAAAAAGAGCTTTGACATGATTACAGGAGATAAAAAGGTTAATGGACATCAGAAAGGTCTCCTGAACCACTGCACACATGCTCAAGATCCGTGCTTTTCTGTCTAACAGCCTGGCGGATGACAGCCACGTCTCTCACAAGTACAGCAGGCCCAGGACATGGGAGAAACAGACTTGGGCTTAGCGTCCTTCCCTCTGTCACAGGGGAAGAAATTACACCCACAGAAAGAAATGGCAGCACACAATTCACTTCCCGCCCACCTGCCAGTCTCCGGGGGGCCGTCCCCACCATGCTGCAGCAGGGGGACCCCCTCCCACAGACTGAGCGGGCACCCCCACCCCCCGACCAGGAAGTGGCAAGACAAAGGAGGAGCAAATGTGGAGCAGTTTCAGTTTTACCGCCTTATTTTATATGCAACGCCTGACTTCACCACAAAACCACTGTAAGCCCAACAGTGAATACGGAGCCACACACTGCTCCACAGTCAGACTGTCCCCAGCATGACGCTGACTTGCCTTATCCAGGAAACGAGACTGCAGTGACCACAGCTGTGATCAGTAACATTTGCCATTCAGATGCCCAAGTGATCAGCATAGATTTAGAAAAACATTTGCCCTTTTATACATACCTATAATTAAAATTCCAAAAAATGAGTTTAAAAAACTTTCTGGTTAATGGAGGTACTGGGGATATAACCCAGGGCCTTGTGCATGCTGAGCACTGCCACTGAGCTATGACCTGCACCACAAAACATATTTTTGAAAACACGAGGTTTTATTATCTGAATTAATAGGCTCAAGTTAAGCCAAAATATCTGTAATTCATATGTGTAAACTCTTCTGCTGAGCAACAAAATACCAAACCCACAGTGTTTAGGGGTCAAAATATACAACAGCCCAACCTAAATGACTGGATTTAACTAAAACACAGAAGCCTGAAGAATTCTCTTATATGCAACAGAACTATGACTCAGAAAGGAAGACTGTTTATTAGCTGGATGTAATGGAACGTTTCCATCCGAGTGGGGTAGTCTTTTATCCACCGAGAATCCGATGAGTTTCTCAAGCACTACCTTTTAAAACATACTCACTAAAAACGAAGTTAGGGCTCTTATACCATGTGTAATTTGTGCATGATGATGGAATGCCACAAAGTACCTTGCCCTGGGGTTGCTCAGTTTCAGCCCAAACAAATGCAAATGGCTTGTCAGATGACAGCTGTTTGATAAGGCCCCTCTACAAGACCCGCATGCTTTACTTTCTTCCGTGAAACTTGGGATGAAAGGCAGAAGGCAGGAAGAGAATTAATGTAGCATACAGTCTAAAGGCAATGCTACAACCGTGATTAAGTAGAAAAGTTAAAAGGCACAGATTTTCACAGCTTCGCTGCGTGCAGCCCATCCGTGTAACAAGCTGACAGGCCCAGCGCCTCGCTCCATCATCCGCTCCGACAGCTAAACGCAGCGCTGCACCCCTTTCCAGGGGAAATGTGCGTCTGCACCATGAAGCGTTGTACATTATTTCTCAGCACTGCAGGGGGCTCGAGTCCATATGGAACCTTCACAAATATTACCACAGATCAAACCGGCGGCCTTGGGAGGCAGATTTGACATACCTATTTAAATGAGCAGCGGGGGTCCCGGGCGGCCGCGGGCTGTGCGTGGAGAGCGGCCGGGCTCCATTACTCAGCAAAGACACACTCTGCATTTTTCATTTCATTTCTGCCAGGGCAAGAAGCTCATTTGCCCAAGGTCACCAAAAAGTGAAAAGGAGGCTTTCTTTTTTTTTTACCCCCTAAGAAATAAATGTACCTGACAAGTGGGGATTCTGTCCTCTGGGTTGGTGGACCACAAATAAACACCGGAGGGCTCTAAAAAAGCAGAGGGACCCTGTACCAGTGACGTCAGCAACCTGAGCGTGGACTGCGGACGGGGAGGCCCAGGGAGTAACTGGTGAAAACCGAATATATTTTGTTTTGTTCGTTTATAATGAACAAAACAAAACTGGGCATCATCTTCTAAAATAAAGTGGGTTCTGTCGTTTAACAAGACTGGCTGTCAGAGGCCGGCCTTTCCCCTCTGTGACCAGGAGCTGTCGTGTGCTCACCATCAAACACGTCCAGCTCCGGTAGACAGAAAACCTGTTCCCAGAACACGCAAATGCAGCTGGGAGTCAAAGTGGAATCGAATCATTTCTTAGATCTTTCTTGGTCCCAAATTCCAGACTCATACACTGCACGGGCCTATGAAAGGCAGAAACCGTACGTGATAACAATGCAGCAGAGAGAAGCACTGACTTTCTCCAGGTGAGTGCCTGGTGGCTCTGGTGCCTGCCCGGTTTAGGTTTCACCTGGGATGTGACCACACACAGTCACTGAGCTGAGCATCCGTCTCCCAACACGACCTCCACTCGGCGCAAAAGCGTTTTAAGGACAAACCACCCTGACAGAAATTCCATAATGCTCCCCTTCAGCAAAAGTGAATTAATAAAACATAAAGCCTTTCAACTTACTGTCTTACCTCTAGAAGTCTTATTTTTGTCCATTGTGAGACAGACCAACTAAATTCTGAAGCTGGGAGAAAACTCTGGTATCATTAGTTACTTAGCTTACAGTTTGTATTATTTACCACAAATGTAATATACTTACGTGCATTAATGAATAATACGATTGCTTGCCAGTATAAAAGAGAAAATGAAATGGGCGGCCATCTTCTCCCCACTGGACCGCTAATAAAAAACAGATAAAAACAAGTAAAAATAAAAATAAAGACAGAGGGGGATTAAGTACTGTGTTTAATTGTAATTTGATACCCGTTTATAATTACAATTAAGTTTCAAAATAACAAAACAAAGTATTTATATTTAGAATTTTAAGTCTGGAATGTTTTAACATGTAAATATTTAGAATATTTAATATTTCATATGAATTAACACACAATGTTTACATTTGATAAAACATTCCTAAATATTTCACCATGAGAATTTCTACGATTTGTTTTAAGTAAACACACAAAACACCAAAATCATCTTGCTAGAAAAAAAAATTTAGGTTTGGCTGTAAATACAAGGCACTCCCATAATCTTAAAAGGAAAGCTGATTAAGTCAGTTACGTGTATACTGAAGAAATCAGAAACAGGTTTTGTAACAAAGAGAAAAACCAAACAGATTTTTCTGTGCCTCGTTATTTGTTTCAACTCTCTGCTGACGCACCTGAGAGTTCAAAATGTCTACAACAGAAGGGGCCCACCCAGGTGTTCCGTGGGACCCCTTTTGAAGTGCAGGTGGTCATTCGCATCTAATATACACCAAACAGACAGAAACGGAGCTGCTGCAGGAAGTAAAGCCAACACTAACTCCACATCCTCTTCCCGGATTTGTACTGAGCTGCTTCCCTGCTAACGACCTGTAAGAACTCCAACCAGTAAGGCGACACTCCTCTGTCTATTACATGAGTGGTAAACTCTTTTCTCCCAACCTGTCACTTGCCTTTTAATTTTGTTTGTGGCATCTTTCATAATCAAGAAGTTTAAAGTGCATACGTACAGCAGAAGCTGTCATTTTTCCTCTGTGGCAGTGTCTCTCAATTGTTCTTTCATTATCGTCCCTACTAAGGAATCTTTTTAGACACTTTCTCCTTAACTGCCTCTCACCCTATGAAATTTTAATGCCGCAGATACACGGCGCACGGGCTGATGCAAGCTGTGGCCCTTTGGAGGGCCACAAACATCATGATAGCTTTTTTTCACCTCCTATGAATCAATTTACACCCCCTTGGGGGCAATATCACCCCCGTGGAGAAAACCTGTTTTAAGTCTTTGAGCTTTCTAAAAGACTATTTTCCTGTATTTTCTTCTGGAAGTTTTGCATGCTTTCGTGATCAGAAATTTAACTTATCTGGAATTTATTGTGAGGCAGAAATTCAATATGTATTATTTTGTCCAACAAAAAAAGTCATTTCATTACAGGTTTTTGAATAATACACTCTTTTCTTTCAAAATACCACCTGTACAATATGTAGGTTATCTTTCTCTTCTGGGATAAGTGGCATTACACACAGGCCACTTTAAGTCAATACACTTAAAATGAAGACCAAAATTTCATAATAAATGGTAGAAAATAATTTAGATACGGAACTTGGCTTAAAAAATAAAAACAGATTCTTATTTACCAATGACGTATGGATGATTTGTTTCTCCAAATCACTTGCAAATACTTCATGAAATCCCGCTTATTTTCCAGTATTTATAACTACTATGCACTTTTCACTACAGCACAAAAGCAGTCAGTCAGAAACGGATCTTCTGACAAACATCCTGGTTGCAGGTAAGACCTACTGGAAGCTTGGAAGGGTTTTTGAGTTGGGTCTCATCCCATGTGTGTGAGTAGGAGCCTGTGTGTACTTGATTTCACAATGGATGTTTACGTGTGTGTGTGCATGTGTGAATACATGATTTCACTCGAGCTAAGACATCTCAGATTTTAAGATGCTCCACCATGTATTCTACAAAGAAGGAAAGAAAAAACGCTAACAGTTTACATTAATTGTAAAATGAATACTGCTTTCTAAAGATGGTAAAATTTGAAAAACTGTGCCTTAGAACTCAGGAAATACGGCGTAAACAAACATACACAGCCTTAATCTGGACTTTCCAGCCTCCAGAACTGTGAGAAATACACTTCTGTTGTTTGTAAGACACCCAGCATAGGGTAACTTGAAGGACTGAGACAGTTCTAACCATTTTCACTTGCTATTCCCACACAACAACACGTCCCTCTGTACTAATGCAGGCAGAGCTGTCTCACTCTTTTTCTCACCTGTGTATTTTTCCACAGGATTCTCTGACACTTTATTAACTGTCCTATTGATGAACATTCACATTGTTTCTGGTTTTTTGCTGACACATGGTATTTGCAGTTTCCAGTCTGTGAGTAATAATGATCTCCTGTCCTATTTGACTAAAATTATTTTCCTACTTTTATTTTCCTGATTTATGAATTAACCTACTTTCCATTCTGCCCATTTTTCTTTACAAGTAATTTACTCTAGGTATCAGACTTCTGCTGTGTTTCAAAATTTTCCCCAGTCTGTTGCTTATTGTTTTAAATTTGTAGTATCTTTTTTTTTGGAGACAAGTTTTAGATTCTGAAATACATGATTTATTGTTCTTTGCCCTCTTTGTGACTTAAGGGCATAATATCATATGTTATTTAAAAAACACTGGTAGCTGTATGATTATCTTTCAACTAGCCACCTTATTTGATTCTACTTTAGAGTTTCAATCACTTAATTCCAAAATCATAATGTACTTTTAAATCCTGACCTAACTCTACCATCTTCTGGATACAATCTACTTTTAAAATTCCATTATGTAGATTAAGAAATAAGAGAGTTCTGTCCACAGAAATGCAGACGCATGTTTCCACCATTTTTAAAAAGGCTGCTACAAATTTAACACAGAAAATGAGAATCTAAATATTCCACTGATGAGAATGCATCCTCACCAAAACCAATGGTGAAACAGAAGGAAACTGAAACGCTATACTACAAACTGCATTAAATATCCTCAAACCACCATTTGGGGTTATTAGAGAACACTCGGAATGAAAAGTTCAAAAACTGAAAATGTAACGGATGAAAAAAACTCAAAGAAATGAAACAACTTGATTAAACTCAGGAGAGAAATGGAAAAAAAAAGTTAAAATCATCAGAAATGTAGACTAACTTACAAGTAACTCCCAAAAGAACAGATTAAAAACAAATAAAGGACATAAAAAATGAGGGAAACACCTTAAAAGATGAAAATGAGATTAAAGGAAGAAATAAAAAGATTCAGAGAGATAATGACTGATGTGGAAGAAAATCAAAGAAGGAATAACATTTCTATAATTGAATCCCAAGGAACAAAAACAAAAAGGGGAACAGAACTAATATTTATAACATTTTTATACAAAAAAGTTATATTCACTTTTTTAGTTACATATATATATACAACTAATGAACAAAAAATATATAACTAAGTTATACGTATATATGATTTTTAATAAAACTATATTCTGATGTAAGAATTTGAACCTACATATTGAAAGGGCTCACTGGCACCTATAAACTGACCCTTAATAATCAGCTCAATGTCATATTTTCACTAAGCTACTACACAGCTTTAGATAGATTAAGAATCCTTAGGACCACCATGGGGGAAGATTTAATAATGTAAAAGGAAAGATAACTAGACTGGCATAAGACTTCCAAAACCGGACAGAAAAGCCAGGCCACCGTGGAGCCACAGCCTCAAGAAACTCAAGAAAGTATGAACCAGACTTTTTCCTCCAGCCAAGCTGTCCTTCAAGCATCAAGGCTATAAAAACACAATTTTAAAAACATAAGGACTCAAGCAACTTATATCTATGAGCCCTTTTTGAAGAATCTACTAGAAAATGAATTCCATTCAAACTAGAGATAATCAGGGAAACCTTAGCAAAAGGAGTACGGACAGCATTTACTAACCTAACTGTAGATCTAATACCAGAACAAAGATGAGCAAGGAGTGTACAGAATAAAGTGCTGGAAAAAAATTGGAGACACACACCTACGTGTGTCTGTGTGTGTGTGTAGGTGTGTATCTGTACAACTGGAAATCAATGTTTCTAAAGTGGTTCTTGTCCAGGAAAAAGACAGAAAGGCAGAGAAAGATCACAATTTGTTTGTTACCAAGGAGACCACCATGTACTTAGGTCATCATTACACTCCATCCCACACTGGTTTCCTTGTGTGAATCTGGCCACCGTGTTGTTGTCCACTGGCAGGAGGCTCACAGGACCTCTGTGTGACTAGCATTTCAGATTCTCCTATACTCTGGCATGTTTTCACAAAAGAGTCCCTTAAAAAAATTTCAGAACAATTCATAGCTTGAATGTTTACGGTATTCAGACATCCAGATAAGGCTACTCTGCTGAAATTCTAATGCAGTTTATGTTTTATGGTTTTGTACTTTCTAAGTGGGCACTCATAACATCTGTGAATACTAACTGATTTATTCCTAATTTCTTTGCTTTTTTAAATCACACTGGTTAAGAGTTTCGAGGCAACACAGAAAACCAGGGACAAGTGAGGGCACACTTGTCTTATTCCTAAACTTAGTATAAGAAGTCCAACGATACGTTTTTTAATTTGATGTGTTTTTGTTTCTCATGACAGCCTTTCTCAAACTAAGAATGTCTCTTTTTATTTCTAGTTTAAGAGCTTTTTACCAAAATATAAATTGTGTTAATGACTTTTTATTCATCTTTGGAAATATTTCCCCCTGAATCAATCAGCACTGAGAATTACATTAATAAATCCCTCATGTTAAACCATCCTTATATTCCTGGGGGAAAAGGATCCTCTGGTATATTCCTTTAATATAATGCTTTATTTGATTTGCTATCATTTAATTTAGTGAGAATAGAGTATAGGTTTCCTTTTTATGCAATTCGTGTCCAGATTTGATAATTTTCTGAGTCTTTAAAGAGTATTTGAAAGCTTACATTATTTTTCCTCTGCTCTGGCAGAAGGTTACATGAAATAAAAGTTACAAACTTTTTCAAGGTATGACAGACCTCAGGGACAAAACTATAAACTCAGCTGCGGCTTTAAATTTGAT